TCTGGCTCTGATGTACAGTAAAGAAGCTTTTGGTATTATGTTTTACTGGGATGTGGTTGTTTCAGAAGTCATCATTAGAAATTAAGAAGTAGAAGAAGAAGACAAACAAGAAGAATGAGAATAAGAACAAGAACAATAACAAGGAAGAAAGAAAGAAAGAAAAAGAAGATGATGATGATGATGATGATGATGATGATGATGATGAAGGAGAAGAGATTTCATTGAAGAAAAAAATCAAGGCATATGTACATATACATGTACATGTGCATTACAGATTATGGACGTCTGTGTATGAGAAGTACGAAATGTATGACATGTTTACATCTTTATTGTAGTGTCATGATTGAGGCATTCAGGGATGTTATTTTCCATCAATTGACCATCTTTTAAAGTATGAAATGTATGACATGTTTACATCTATATTGTAGTGTCATGATTGAGGCATTCAGGCAGGTTATTTTCCAACAATTGACCATCTTTCAAAATTTCGTGTTTACTTCCTGCAAAAACAGGAAGTGATCTCAGAAAAATGACAAAGACATCCGCATACAACCAGGCAATACCATCAAACGTGTGATGTAAACATGTACATTCACTAACCAAATTGTGAATGATTGTGGTTTATTTTGATGTACATGTGTGGGCTTTTATCACACTTGCACAGATAATATCACACTGGCTCCTATATTTAGTGTGATTTTTTTTGGCATTGCCAACAACTGCATAAAGATAACGAGGCATCTCACCAAAACAATCACCACAGCAGATATATTTTCCAGAATATAGATTTGTACCCCCTTCCATTCAGTGGCCAAGTTACATCTATAGAGATATCATACATGTATTCATTCTCCTAATGACTAGTTTGAAGTGATCAAGAGAGAGCCTATTGTAGGGGCCAGTGTCCTGATTAACACAATCCACCGTCACTGCTCTACAATGCCGCCGCTTGGACACGAGCCATTTCAGACCTACATATTAATCAGGAGCACCTGCCTCGGCCGGCTCCAACAAGCCCACTAAAAATATCTCAATCGAATTGGAGTACATCGTTGGTTGTGTTTCCATGGCAACAAATCTGTGGCTAATCCAAGTAATTGGCAGGCGTCATACGGTAACATTCGCTGTCATTGTGTATTTGTGGATTACCGTGATTATGCGGAGTGTGTTTGTAGGTGAGTATATAGATATTTTCCCCAGGCAAGCAAATGCAACCTGCATCAAAATTGTATGCAATGATGCACCATGCATCAAGAATCTAAAGAAGTTAGCACCACATCACATCCACAGGCAATAGGGGCTGCAAACATAACTATCATACAGCAAAGGCCCAGCTATGTAAAAAGAGTTAATCTATTCCTCTATTTTTCATTTTTGCATTTTTGCATCTTTTTAAACTAAAAAATGCTGGCTTAGAGACATTTATAGATGGTATTCTGCATTAAGCAATAAATCCAGATTTATAATCATCATCAAATGCTGGCTTGTCTGACAAAACATTGAACACACTTTCAGAGAACAATGTCATCCTGAGAGGCAAAGGGATGCTCACTCTATGTAAACTGATAAGATTTAATTCCCTTCTAGCTCTCAGCTACACAGAACTCCTTACATTAGGGACTTTAAAATTGAGTGGACAAGAACGGCGTGAACATCCACTGATCATGCTTGTCTATGGCAAGCCGTTTAAACATTTATTCCTATTTCTTGATATCAAGAAATGATTTTCTGTTGTAAAGCAATAGTAATTCTTGATATCAAGAAATGATTTTCTGTTGTTAAGCAATGGTAATTCTTGATATCAAGAATTAGGAATAAATATTAAAATGGCTTGCCATAGACAAGCATAATCAGTTGCATTCACGCCATCCTCATCCACTCAATCTAAAAGTCCCTATTTTCTGTGTTTTACTTCGAATTCCATACTGCAGTGTCCCTGACATAAAAAATGTCAGATCAATTCTGAACATTCAGACTAAATATATAATAGCCTGACATTAATGTAATTTCACCTATATGCATCCGATGAATAAGAAAACCATTTACATGATCATGAAAACAGCATCGAGAGAGAGAGGTCACACAAGTCAAGTGAAATCACTCCATTAAACTTGTTCCATTCTTGTGACTGTAACAAATGCGATGCGAGGGATGACAAGAAGTGTCGCATTCTTACCTGCCATGAATGTGAACTAGATTATTCACCTGCATAGCCTTCCAGAAATGTCACCCCATGTGTGAAAATGAAGGTGTTTCTAAACCCGGGACATGACCTACATTTTCCATTCCTCCTGGTGACTCCACCGTAAAGGTCCCCGGACGGTTATTAGAAACTGTGCCGGTCTACGTTACTCAAGGCATTTTTCTTATTCCTACCTCTAGGCTTTTTTACAAAGGTTATCAGAATACTAGTACGAGGAAACTGGCAAAACCATGAGAAATCAAGAGCATCGAAGACTTAACAAAATGAAAAGGCAACTTATCAAGGGTGTTCTTTTTTAATTTTTTTTTTGATATTCTGCTATCAGGGACAGTCCTTTGGCATTTGATGTGATATGCGAGAGGAACACAGATTGTTGAAAAATCCTACAGATTATGAAGAGCAATATACAATTATGCTACACATCTACACTAGCATCTCTTTCTCAGGCTGTAACCATCTCTTCACATAATCAGTGTTCTCTTCACCTCCTCCCACCTGTATCTCCAAGTGATCTTCTGTTTTAAAGGGCATGCCCTCCCTCTCAAGATGTCTCAGTTCCCACTAAGAAGTAGGCCTCCCCCTCGTGTGTGCATTTGCCAACCTACTCTCGGCACATCTCGACCCTTGATACCTTTCAACACATACTAGACCCACCTCCTTCCTATCTTCATCCAATCCGTCTACTGAATTATAATTGACATGTATGTAATGGTACATCAACTTCACTTTTCCCTGAGTGATCAACTGTCGATGATACCGGGATAAAGAGGCTTAGCTCATCTTCTGATCCCCAATCCTTTTACCTTCTCCATATTATGCAAAGCTTGAAGGTTATAAGCAGCTAGGAGCCAGGAATCATCAGCATGGAATCTCTGCATCTAACATTAATAAGAACATACAGCCTGAAAATGGCATCATGTACAGCTAGAGAGCCTGAAGATTAATGATAGGTTTCCCTCGTAAGCTGCTTACAAACAGAACAAAATATCTAGAGGAAGGAGTGTAACAAATCATTGCCAATGTGCCGACCTGATTTTACTGATAAGCAGCCATCTTTAGCAGTTCCTATATATATGTTACCCTAAAGGTGAACTGGTTCACAATACAGTACCTAAATGTGTATTACTCAATTTTGTCTGTTAAAGTACCGGTGTATGAGTTAATGCCCTCCTGGCTCAAAACAGAGGATTTGAAGTAAATGCCATGTAAATGTTCTGAGAACAAAAATCTATCAGATGACCACTACATCAATTAAATACACCAAATGTGAGATTTCCTAGTTTCTACACATACAGTACTCAAACCTACATCCGAGTTTGGGGGATTTTATTAAAAATCAGACCCTAGTATATATCATTAGATATTACAAGAATATGATTTTTATATCCATTCACCATGAGACCTTTCAACTTCATGATTCTATTGTTTTATCCCACTGTGATTTATACATTCAAAAGTGTGATGTGCATCCTTAATCTAGGACAGCTACCAAGGGGTTCTAATATTCACCATTGCAAAGAATGAACTTGAATGTCTACTTTCTTTGTCAATAGAATACTGAAATGTTCCGGTGAAAGTTGAAAGCTCTGAAGATAAAGTGTATTGAGAGGAAGAAATGGGGGGTGAGACACACTGACAGTATACCTTTAGCTCACAGAGGCATCTCCCCACCTTCCCCATCCCTTCTTCTTTTCATCAACCCATCCTTCCACACCCCTTTGCTATTCCCCGTTCATCCTTACCCCCTTCTTCCACACCCCCTCCTTGATAACCCCCTCCTGTTGTTTTTAAATCCTCCTTTTATTACTTCATTCCTCTCACAAATACTCTTTCCCAATCCTTTCTTTCCCATCCCTCTTTACTCATCTCATCCTTGCCAACCCATTAACTTTCTCATTCCATCCCTCTATCCCGACCCTCAAGTCTCCATTCCTCTATCCTAAACCACCACTTTAACTCTTTCTCAAACCTTCCCACCCCTCTATCCTAAACATCTCCTCCAACTCTTTTTGAAACTTTCCCTCCCCACCTCTCTATCCTAAACCCCACCTTCCATTTCCCCATTCAACCTTACACATCCCCCCCCCCCCCTCCCCTCCCCTTCCCCATTCACCCTACATCCCTTGCTCCTCATCCCCTTCCTCAAAACACACTTCTTTGCATCCTTGCTCTCTAATTTATAATCTCACATCCTCCCTTCCTTCCCTCCATAGCACTTTCCCCTTGCACTAAAAGGACAAGCCAACTCGGATTTACCCCATTCAGACCAGCCAAATCCATTGCAAAGTTATACAAAAGTTGTAAAGCTATAAGATGACACATGGACAATTTTCTAGACCGAACATGACGTAACAAAATGTTGAATGGCAAAACAGAGTTTTGAACATTTTTTAAAATGTTAACTTGATGTAGAATCGTGTCCACTTCTAAAGTACAGGGGCGAGTTAAAGAAAAATATTAACATACCATCAGCACCAATTTTCTCTGGAATTGTATTATGGCATTGAGTACATAAATTGCCGTATAAGCGTCATTTTAATTTGATATTTTGTTTGATTGTAGTTCTAGTAGAGATGTTTGGGGGAACGTATGAAAAAAAATAACTTGAACTCGCCTCAAACTAGACAGGGCATACACTGATGACTGGCCAGCTTTCATATCATCTATTTCCTTTATACAACGTTTCTCTGTACAATACACATGTGAACACCTCATTTGCCATACAGTGATTCTTTATTGTGACGTTTCTATACACAGGGTTCATATAAATGTCTTTAAGTGTGAACAGGGTACTCACCCTCTGAAGATCCCTGGAGTTCAATGATGACGTGTACCTTCCCAGCAGGTTCCAGGTCAATCTGGGGCGAAAAACAGGAAGATAATAAGGCATCGTCAAAACATGATACAGAATATGAGACACAAACAATAACACTCAATGGCAGACACACTCAAGGGATAGAATACTACAGTACAAATTTACAAATCCTAAATTTTGCTCCTCCACATTGGATACAAAAATTAATTAAGAGATGATTTTATATTTCTGAGCTATTTCTCTTGCCATCCACTTTCTTTATGTACAAACATTTAAATGATGTGACATACAAATGTACAGTGTAGCTTCATGTTGATAAATCTATCTATCAAGGAAAAAACAAAAGAATCAAGAATTTTTTGCAAACTTACTTTTTCAAGATTGTTGTTATCAACATGAATATGAATATGATATGCATTCTTTGAAAGTGTCTTAATTACACATCATTATTGTCCAATTAATTCCATCATATCATCGTCATAAGAAGTAAATACATGTATTAAATGTATTAATGTATTAAATACATATATATTAACAAAATATATTTTAATTAATTTGTATACATTTATACAATTAAATGACTTGACTGATGATCGAACTTTCTCTCTATTTGTACATGTAAATGTAACTAGCAGAAAAACACTAATAGTGTGTCAGGGGACCATCTCAATCTCAATCTCAATCTCAATCGCCCTTGCCCTATGATAAAACACAACCTCACAACAAATAACAATTGCTAAACATAATGATATGGCATGCAATTATTACTTAATGTGTTTTTGTAATCTTTCATAACATTTCAATCTCAATCTCAATCTCCATCTCAATATCTCGATCATCCTTGCCCCATAATCGAACAGAACCTCACAACAAATAAAAATAGACCATATGTGTAATGTTACCAAATCTAATGCATGTCAAGTGCCTCGATACAAATTATTTCTTTCATCTGTTTATACAAATAATTGTATTTCAATTGTCAGAATGCGAACTGCATACATTAGTTGTTGCCTAGGACAAACATCACTGCCTGCCCTTCCTAACATAATATAAGCATTTTGCAGTCTGACTTTTGAAATAGAATTATTCATTACAGGTTAATGAAATATCATATTGAGGCTCTTCACTTCACGTAGACCATTGCATTAAATTTGGTTACATTACGAAAATGGTCTATTGCTAAAAGTAATGTACTATATGGGCAACCTGAAAACATATGACCTTCGGCACTGACTACTACATGTATGTCAGAAGAGGCATAGAAATGTTGATAATAAATGAAAAGGGTTGACTGATTAAATTCAAATTCCCAAAAGAAGACTAGATCTCATGGAAGGTTGAAAGGTGTTGATGAGTATGATAGAGGTAAGGTGATATTTTACACTGAATAATCACAATAATTGGACACGTGGGGGTTCTATTCATCTGGTAGAATGATTGTTATATCTGCAGCTTCAGTTCTTTTTTTCTTTCTACAAACAAATGTAGAAATACAAATACAACGATTGTTTTTTCTTCATTCAATAGTGAATGTTTTCTTAAAACCTAACATTTTATATCATCTGACAGATTTTAGAATACAGGCTTTAGATCTTAGATTTTTTAATTACATGATTACTGAACAAAACCACATTCAAATCTGGTTCACATGATTATTTTTAAGCTTCCAAAATAGTTTGGCTCCTGCAAGAAAACTGAATTAAAAATACAAATTCATTTAATAACAGTTATATGATAGAAATTATACAGGAGGCAATGGCCATATTAATGATTACAATGGTAGTGATATGACTCCTGCAAGATAAACCATATTGGTAACAATGTATATGAAAACTTATATTTCATGAATTTTAGATGGCCCTACAAGGAAATCACCCTGCGAATGTCTAACAGAAATGCCCAAGTGAACAAGTATATTTTATATACAAAATGCATACATATTATCTAACACATTCAGAAGCAGAAAGCCATACTCCAACTTGAGAAGCACAAAGGAGGTCAAGCGAAATGATATAAGTAAATCTCACTTTTTACATTAATGTGTCTGATATTAATAAAGAGTTCTGGTTAACAAGAAGATCATTCTTGACACATTCTGTGAATTCATTAAATCATGAATACAAATGAAGGACTTCCTCCAATATATCATCAAGACAATATGCATCACCTGCAGTAGCTCATCAAAATGCCATAAAAAGGAAAACAAAATTGTAGTACTTGTAAAACAATTTGTCACTCCATGAAAAAGGTAATAAATTAATTCTGTAGGCAAATACATTTGCTTGCAGGTACCTTCCCTTTTTTCTCTATGTGTCAAAGAAAATGCAAGACTAATGTCACCTGTTAAATTTGCTTGTATCCCGACGAGCATTTCAGAGACAAAAAACAGAGGTTATGAGAAAGTAGGTTACATTACTGCCTGTAGCATGCTGTGCGGACACATGTGTGTACATGTAAATGCAATTATTCATGCAATGTCATTTTAAACGTTAAAGCCAGGCTTTCACTGAATATCTTAACGTAATGATTTGATACAAGGCCTACTTTTTTTCTTCCTTTTTTAAAAAACTTTTCAAATCACCCTACTGACAACTATCCTATCAATAACTCAATGTGTAGCAGTTTTTTGTGTGTGTGTATTTCTTGTCGGACAAAATGACCAGATTTTGACCCTAAGCTAACCTTTTTCTAAAATACTTGTGTAACTACCGGTAATAGGACAAGTACTAAAGGAAATACAAATCATATACTGTAAATGCGGAAAAATTTGCGGTACATTAATTTTCGCTGATGTCGCGCTAATACCAAGCGCGTAGCCAGGATTTCATTTTAGGGGGGGGGGGCGGTAGTGAGCACGCAAAGCGTGCGAATTACTTAAAGAGCGCGCAAAGCGCGCTCCCTAGGGGGGGTGGGTGCAGGGAGGGGGGAGTTTCCCCCCTCCCGCGCGTAGCGCGGAAGCTTTGAAAGAAGACGATTCGTTGTACCTTTCTCGACTCATAATCCTTGTCTGAATTCAGTCCCTCCCCTCTCTCGCGCGAAGCTTTGACGTTTCATTAAATTATTAGAGAAAGAAGACGATTCGTTGTACCTCTCTCGACTCTTAATCCTTATCTGTATTCAGTCCCTCCCCTCTCTCACGCGAAGCTTTGACGTTTCATTAAATTATTAGAGAAAGAAGACGATTCGTTTTACCTTTCTCGACTCTTAATCCTTGTCTGAATTCTGTTCCCCCCCCCCCCCTCTCGCGCGAAGCTTTGACGTTTCATTGAATTATTAGAGAAAAAAGACGATTCGTTGTACCTTTCCCGACTCATATTTCTTAATTTGAACTCAGTTTCCCCCTTCCCGCGCGAAGCGCGGAAGCTTTGACGATTCATTGTACCGTTCTCGACTCCTTTTCACTTTTTCTTCCTACGTCCTCTTTCTTTTTTTTCTTCTCTTTCTCTCTCTTTTTTTTTTTTTGGCCGGCGTTTTGGGGGGGGCGACCGCCCCCACCGCCCCCCCCTGGCTACGCGCCTGGCTAATACCTGCCAGTACAAATTTTAGAACTCGCAAAAATATAAGCATTACTTCTAATGCATGTTTTGAATGGGCTGAATTCTGTGCAACGCAAATTTAAGAACCTGCAAATATTTTTGGGGTCCCACAGCGCGAAAAAATTAATCAGGCAAAAATAACAGCGTTTACAGTAATATGACAGTTGGTGCATCGGATCTGCCCAAATTGTTTATGCATGACACATTCAACAGTTGATATTCAAACATAAAACTTCGCATAATTCTTGGTCATCTTGACAAAGTTCAGGCTTTTTTCCCCCCAGGAACAGTATGTGGTGGAAATTGAAGTGACCAATTAATCACATCTGAAAACAATAATCACTTCTGAAATGTAAATGATTCACGCAGGAATAAAATCACCTGATAATTATCTTCAAGCATTTCAAGCATGGCTCATTTGATGTAGTGTGTACTTTGAGCTTTATATAATTTACATGTAAAAGACACTCGATAAAACAACAATAATATAAATACATGTAAGTGCAATCCATATCAATTTTGATTAATAACACATTCGCTCAGGTTTCAAAATAATCCAAGGCGGATGCATGTAATAAACCAAATCAAACTAAAATGCAATTTATTCATTTATCTAATGATATGATATCAGGTCAACGGAATTACGATGTGAACAGATCACAACATTACGCAAAGAGACGTGATGAAATATGTGCGCGGACCTCTTTCTTCTGCCATCAGCTGTGGCTAAAAGCACATTAGGCGCCACAGTAATAAATCTAATTCATGTAACAGGTAGGGGACGAGATGGCCTAAGCCAGGCCGCATCAACACCGCCCCATTTAGCCAATTACCACTGCCTTGCTGTGAAACCTGATATACATTCACCACTTTTCATTAGCCAGCCGGCAAGTTTGCCTATCAGCGTGCCACCCTGCCTGCCTGCCTGCCTGCCTCAGCCTGCATGTACTGTACATGTATGTATGGCTTGGGAGCCACCGGTAGTCAGTCGGCCTTGTGCTTCTGAGCTGCCTGCATGTGCATCACTCTAAGAATATGGTGGTTGAGTGAGTGAGTGGGAGATGATACAAAGGAAGAGTGAGAAGAAGGAAGCTCACATTAAAGGGAATCATTCACCTTCATCATACCACGTTCATTACCATGTTCATTACCACGTTCATTACATCGCCCACCTTCTTAGCTGCTATGAAGGTTATACAGAACCTTAGAAGAATACAGAATGCAGCTTGAAATGCAAGTAATGCCGAGACTAGCCATGATGGCTTTTAGCGTTTTATTCATCTTTTAACACAAGTGTTCAAGCCATTTTGGATCTCAACAGAGTCCAGACAGTATATTATGTACAGGTAATCGTGCGGAGTCAAGATATGTTAAAGGCTTGTGACAATAAACAATTTCTCAATTACAGAAAGAAAGATCTATCTTTCCCCTAGGGGGCATTGTAGTAGTTCTAGAAAATACTGAAATGCCAATTAAGTGGATTGTAATTACTTGAGTCCATAAAGAT